TTAGCTTCAGTGACATAGAAAGTATAGGGACTCAGTGAAAACTCTGGTCTGTTGTCATTCACATCTCTTACAACAACGCTTATTGTCTTTTCAGACGATAATGGAGGCTGCCCAGTGTCTTTTGCATGTACTGTTATGATATAATGTGACTTTTTCTCTCTGTCCAGCGGCGATTTGGTGACTAATAAAAACATTCTGTCTTGTGAAGATGGTGATAAAGTAAATGGGACTTCATCATTTATGGAGCAAATCACTTTTCCATTGAGACCAGAGTCCAAGTCATTTACACTGATAAGGGCAACTGTAGTTCCAGGTCTGGAATCTTCAGGGATGGAACTTGAAAATGAAGTAACTTCAATCTCAGGTGCGTTATCATTCACGTCAACTATTTTGATAATGATGCTTTTTTGTGTAGCCAGCGGAGCCAGACCTTTATCTGATGCTTGAATTTCAATCTCATATTTGTTCTTCTTTTCATAGTCTATTGAATCTTTCACAATAAGTTCCCCTGTTGATGGATTGATATCAAAAAGGCTTAATAATCTATGACTAACACTGTTGCTGAATGAATAAACTACATCTCCATTTGGTCCATCATCTAAATCAGTTGCATTCACTTGTAAGACTGTAGTTCCTACTGGAGCATTTTCATCCAGCATCACAGAGTAAATGTCTTGAGAAAAAACTGGCGCATTATCATTGACATCTAAAACGTTTACCAGAATACTCATGTCGCCAGATTTCGGAGGTTTACCTCCATCCACTGCTGTCAGCACTAATGAGTGGCTTTCCGCAATTTCCCTATCCAAAGATTTTTTAACAATCAATATAGGTATTTTACCATCTTCTCCCTTATCTTTAACTTCCAAACGAAAGTGGTCATTGGGGCTGAGTTTATACTGCTGAACAGAGAAATGGCCTACGTCTGGATCTCGTGCGGCTTGTAGCGGAATACGTGCTCCAGGTAACACAGACTCAAAAATCTCCAGCATTTTCTCTTTCTCTGGGAAACTTGGAGAATGGTCATTTATATCCAGAACTTCCACTGCAACATAATGGACCTCCAGTGGATCTTCCAGAATAGTTTTCAGGTTGATCAAACATATACTGATTCGCTCGCATACCTCTTCTCTGTCAATCTTCTGCTTTACGTACAAGACCCCGTCATTCTGATCTACATGAAACAGAGGTTCCGTAGAACTTGAAACAATCCGATACTTTCTGTCTTTCAACGTGATTTTATCTAATCCCAGGTCCTTTGCAATATTTCCAACCACAGTTCCTTCGTTAACTTCCTCCGAGATTGAATATCGTAATTGCGCTGAGGCCACGCTCCACAAAAGCACAGCAACCACGCAGCCGACCCACTGTCTTCTCGCCCTTCTTGCGTCGCATCCTCTTTGTTCCATGGTTAAAAATATTCCTCACGGGATTAAATAACCATGTTGTAAGAAACGAATTCAACACATCCGAGTATGCAAATGTTCACTCTGTTGAAGTTAAAAATAACCACTCTGCAAAATGTATAAAGACAGCAGCAAGCCGCCAACGGATACTGCCTTCATCGAACCGAGAGCGATAAAAAAGGTGGAACCAAAAAGCAGTGACGACAAGTTAAAGCCGTTATTTTCCAAGCACACTGACACCATGCGATCTCATTGCTCACTGCAAGGAAATCAAAGTTTCTACAGCCATATTGTATATAGCACAATACCGACGTGTTATATGTACTTTGGCCCGTGTGGTGGTTGTGAATGACAGTAGCCTATCAGATGAGAGGAGGCCTTCTCAAGCGGATTCAACAAGTAAACACAAAATTTAGATTCCTTTGAATGGCGCTCAAGACATCAAATCCTCCCAAATGTGTGATGCTCACGTAATAATTTTGAATACCTTTCAGTTAATATTCATGAACATAAAAGTGGGAATTAATTACTTTTTTTTTTTTTTTTTTTTTACAATGTATCATCAGGTATCTGGACATCAGAGCAGAAAATCTCAGCACCATGGACAGCGAATGACGCCATTTATAATGCCATCAAACCTCATGAATGACTTTGGATTACATCACTATAGCCCAGAAAGTTAAACAATGACTTTACAGATACAGTGAATGTGTATAATGTTGACTGATAAATCAAAGTATGCTGTAATACTGGTATGTTTTTTTCAGGGTATAGTGAACAGGAAGAAGACCACGAAATAGCAAAAGGATGAGTGAAGCATATATGCTAATATATATTAACAGCTGTTCTTCAATTAACAACTATTCTCACGAGGACATACAGTTTGATCAAAATCACAGCTGGGTGACAGTCAAGCATCCTATGAACCACGATGCCAAACAAACTGTGCATACATCATATACAGTTGATGGACTGATCTTATTAATGAACGGGCATATAAATCACAGTTCCAGCGAAAACAAGCCAGGGTTTTCACCAAAAATGTCTTACCTCTCCAGAAGTATGTCTCCTGTCAGGGAGCACTAGTGTGTTCGCGTGGCTTCC